ATGATATAGCTCAAACTGGAAACTTTGCTCATGTTAATCAACAAAATACTGCTTCTGTACTTGGAAATAGTGCTTCTAATTTACAATTGAATAACGTCAACATTGCCGCCAATTGGGCCAAAAACGACGCTTCAAGTGTAGCTACTGTAGCCGGAAATCATGCAGGTTTTGCTCAATCAAATACTGCTAATGTAAACGCCAATCATGCAAACAATAATCAAAACAACGTTGGTATTATTGCTCAAAATGGGGCCGGTAAAGGTGGCCAAAATAACAACTGTGGAATTAATGGAAATGATCCTACTAACCAAAACAATGCTTGTGAAATAACTGACAACAAAACTGGGGGAAATCAACAAAATGGAATTTCAGTGACTGGAAACTTCAACTCAGATTCACAAACAAATTCTGGTTTAATCAGTGGAAACCAAGCTGCTGGAAACCAAGATAACTTTGGTCAGATTGCTGGAAATCATGGAGGTGCTTCACAAGTCAACAAATTAGGTTTTTTTAATAACAAAGCAGGTGGAAATCAAAACACAGGAGCAAATGTATCAGGAAACACCGCCTTATGGAAACGTAGCAAGCAATTAATCATTGCTGCATAAATATTATTAGATTTCTACTTTTTTTCAAATTATATATTTTTTTTTTGTTGTACTGTATTATATATTAAATATGTAGATGCTTTTTCTTTTCTTGTTATAAAAATATTTAATAAATAGAAATTTAATAAAAAAAAAAATTACTAGTCTCATTTTGATTAACTTACTTTTTTTGAATAGAATTAAAGCAAAAAAGATGTTAATAAAATTTCAATTTTTTTTTATCTGATACAACAAAACACTACTGCTGTTTATTTAAAACCAAATGCAATTTTGAAAAAAGTATGTTAGCATAAAATGTTAACGTGACTTTTCTGCAGAACGCTAAACAAACACGGGAATATGTCAAAAAGTTAATTAAAAATTAAGATTGTTCAAATTATGTACATTAAAGAAATACTGGAGATAAAAGAATTTTTGAGGGAAAACACCAAAGAAGAGAATAGAAGAATTGAATTGGTATACATGGTTTCTTCGCAAAATCTTCTCAGAGTCGTGGAAATTCTTCAGAAAATCTAAACTTCGAAGTATTGTTGTTAACGGCTGTACATACTATTAGGACAAAACTACTGAAGAGCTGATATAAATTAAGCTAGGATGTGGAGGTTCTGGCGGTTCTGGTGATTGCAGAGGTTCTTCTGGTGGTTGAGTAGGTGCAGCAAGTGCCGAGGTGGTCTAAACAGTTTTAAGTCTCAAATTAAAAACAACTATTTTATCAAATTTAGATCTTTGACTTTCAAATATTTGATAAGTAGTTCTTCCGAAGTAAAATCCCATAAGCTTCTCCATAAGCTGAAACCATTTTTCTTAATTACAAACTTTAGTTTCTATCAAATTGATCCCAGTTTCATTTTGCAGAATTCAGTTTCTTTTCTTAAGTCTTTCAACCCAAAGTGTAGAATCCTTTTCTCACTGTTAAGTGTTAAGATTTGTTCAAAATCTGTGTAACTTCAGGTCACGTGATTCTATCTTGATTCATTGTAAGAACACATCAACAATGAAAATTTGTTATAATGAAATACAATCAGAAGTAGAATAGGAATATCTTTTAAGTGTGTTATTTAATGTATTCAATTCAGGACTAAGTTTTCCGTGACTAAAACAAAATACATTACATCAGTTTTGAAACAGAAAAAATATCTAAAGTGCAAATTATTGAAATCATAGCATAACTCTATTTAAAGGACCTTGTTTTATTTTAACCTATAACTTTAATATCAAATATTCAAACTTGGTTAACTAAAAAACATACAGCAAAATTTCACAACAAGTAGCAAATCCGAATGAAAATTTGTTCCAGTTAACAACTTTTCCAGTTTCAAAAGAGAATGGAATACTTTTTTTTGCAGTGGAACTATGCTTCTACAAAAAGACGTGCAGGAAGAACCAGTTTGATATCAGGGTTTTGAGGTAAAGAACCGCGTCCAAATTAACGCGAAAAAATAATTAAATTAAAATAAAATAAAAAATTTTTTAAAGTTTAAAATTCAACATAATTTTATTTTAAATAATTAAATAAAGAGTTCATCAGTATGACAGGAATTTCCAAGGGAGCAGGAGGTTATTTCGCACCAAAACAGTCTTCTCCTCCAAAAGCTGGAGCGTTTGCTGCTAGGGTAGTAGCCGAAAAAGGTTTTACAATATATAAAACTCTTACAGTATCTAACTCCCTCTTTGCCATTTAAAAAAATATATATGTACTAGATGATGAAAAAGGTAAAGAATAAGAAATAGAATTTTAATCCTTATTTTTGTTATAGGTGTTACTAGAAAACATCATCATTCACATAATTCCCATCCATTTGCACATCATCCTAATTCCCATAAATCAGTAAATGACAGTTCAGCTTCTAGTGGTTTCCGAAAACTTTATGATAGAGGAGACTTTCCAATTTCAGTTAACCATGACACAAAAGGAAATAAAATTAACTGGAAGGTAAAAAATTTGGAAAGGAAAAAAAAAAAAAATTAAACTATTTTCAATTTTAAAGGTTGATATTGAAAAGCTTGACTATCACCATTACTTGCCATTGTTTTTCAGTGGGTTGTGTGAAACTGAAGAACCTTACGCTTTTTTGGCTAGGCAAGGTATTCATGACCTTTTAGACAGAGGAGGTCAAAAGATTCTGCCAGTGGTACCTCAATTGATTATTCCAATTAAAAGTATTTTTTTTATATTTTTGGGTAATAAATTGATTAAACATTCTTTAGAGGCTTTAAACACAAGAAATATTCATGTTATCACCACAACCTTGAAAGTATTACAACACTTAGTAGAAAGTGCTGATATGGTTGGGGAAGCTCTGGTTCCATACTACAGACAAGTTCTACCAATTTTTAATTTATTTAAAAATAAAAATCGTAAGCTTGCTGAACTTGAAAATTAAGCATAATTTTTTATTTTTATTGTTTCATAGTTAACCTTGGAGATGGAATTTATTATTCACAACAAAAAAGAGAAAACATTGGAGATTTAATTCAAGAAACATTAGAGAAATTTGAATTAACTGGTGGTGAAGATGCTTTCATCAATATTAAATACATGGTACCAACTTATGAGAGTGTTTTAAGCAGAGTCTAAAGACAATTTTCCTTACTTTTTTTTCCGTTATTTTTTTTTTTTTTCAATGTTTTCTTTTTCTTCTTTTTATTAGATAGAGAGTGAGCGACTGTATATTATAAAAAAAATCAAAATAAATTTTTTTTTTTTAACTTTATAATATCCCAACCCAATCAATCTTAAAAAAAAATTGCTGAAATTAAGACCTTTAGAATTTTCTGGAACCAAGACTTAAATTTTTCAACAAACCAATGTTCATAATTACAATTGATAGAGTAGCATCTCTAACAGCGACTTTCCTTTTAATAGTTTTATCTTCCACTTTATTATTTAAAAAGTTGAAAAACAATTCTAAAAACGAATTGGTTGTAAAATTTTTCAAGAACCCACAGTTTTTCTGCTCCTCAATGGTATTGATTTTTATGTTAACAAAGGGAATTTTAGTAACTTTAATTCAAATATATAGCTACAAAATTGAAGATGATAATAATTCACAGGAGATAACTAATAGAATTAAAAGTCATTACTCATTTATTAAAGAGGAAAAAATCTACTTTTTATACATTTTCAGTTATTTGGTGTTTTGGATTTCCGTCTCACTTGTAGTTTACATGGATACAGATCGGTATTGTAAAATGGAAATTGTTCTTTCAAACACTAGAAAAGATTTTTTGATTAAAATTGTTAAAAATTCAGTTTTTATTGGATGTGGAATTATGGAAATATATGCAATTGTGGATTGGACAATCTATAGGAACAAAAACTATGAAAAAAACCTGGATATACAATATTGGGTGTTCACCATCTACATGTTTGCTTTTGTAGGCTACTTTTCCATTTTTGAAATTTTTTTTTGTTTCAAATTGATTGGTTGTGTAATTAAAAGTTATAAATCAAACAGCGTTAAATCAGCAAAATTTTCAATAAAACAAACACTTGTTTCTCTTTTAGGTAACTTTTTTTAATTTTCTATTTTAATATTTATTCTTAATTATAGTGTTGACAGTAGTAACAGATTTTTCTGCAGCAATTTTGTTTCTATTTTCAGAAAAAATTTCATATACATTTATTGGAATCAATCTTGGTTGTTTACACTTGATAACTTCAACGGTAATACTGCAAATAGTTAGCAATGCCAACAATTATATCAAAGAAGCTATTGTTGACCGAAACATGGAACTAACAACTAGAATTAGTTCCCAAAAAAAGGCTAGCGGTGTTTTTTTAAGCTACATATCCGCTGATAATTAAATAATCAATTATTATGAAATACCAACTGTAACGCAACTTTTTCGAATTTTTTGATACTAATTCTAAACTCCATCACCCTGTTTAATTTTTAAAATTACATTGCAGGGATGATAATCAAAATTTTCTATTAAAATATGAAAGATGTAAAGTAAATTTACTTTAGATGAAAACAGTAAGAATATTTAAGAGCACCATAAGTCAAGTTTAAATTTTTTTAATTAAACTTTCCAATGTGAATAATTGTTGCTAAAGTTATTCTAAACAACAAAAAATTTGAAAAATAAATTATTTACACAAATGAAATCTACCAAGTAATTTTCTTTTAGAACACTTTTAAAAGATTTTAATTTTTTTTGTTGACTCTTAATGAAAATGGTTTGTACATAAATTAATATTAATTAATTTCAAACAAACATCTTAAAAGCTTAAAAAAATTTGTAATACTTTGAGGATTATTAATATTAAATTCTAAATTCTTTAAAAAGTAATCTCTACTAATTAAAAAGAATTACTAAGATAATTATAAAATAATCTGCAATACTAATTTTGTAAAAACAAATATCATAAAAACTTCTTCAACTTATGGACAGATGGCCGAGTGGTTAAGGCGCCAGGTTTAGGCCCTGGTTCGAAAGAGCGTGGGTTCAATCCCCACTCTGTTCACTTTTTTCCTGGAAACCTCCCTCCTCTAAATTCATTTCGAATTTTCCATTAGTAACAAAAATTTGTTTTTTTATTATTCTAACTTCCATATTTGTGAACGAACTATTTAGTTTATTTTTACAATTTTGATTAATTTCCTCATTAAATGTTTAAATTTTTTCCCTTATATTTGGAACATTTTTGCTATGAAAATGGTAGTGTGTAGATAGTAGTGTTGTAGTTATGTATAATACAAGAGTTTCTTCGCTCCATTATTTTTATAACATTTGGTTGTAAACTAACGAAGTAAAAAAAAATTTTTTTGCAATAAAAGAATAATTTTTTTTTTTGATTTTAATTTCTACATTTGGTTTATAATTAATTAATTTTCATTTTTTTTTCAGAATAAAAAAATCCTTTGACTGGTTTTTCTTTATGTATTATTAAATATGTTTTCATAAGGAACATGATACCTCTTTGAAAAAGAGTGTTTCTTGTTCTGTATTCCCAATTCTCTCAGTGGTTTCCAACTTCCACAACATATATTTTTATCTTCTAATTGCGATTTACGTTCTTTAAAAATTTCAAAATCAATTTTGGAACTACAAATTTCATCATTAAAATCTTTATCATCATGAAAAGAGTTCCTTTTTCTTTTAATTCTCCTAATTGTTCTATTTTTAGCTACCTCAAGTAGAGCTAAATCGAATCTAGATGGAGGTGAATTGGCAAAAAAAGTTTTGTTGTTGACTGCTGTTTTCGTAGTATTGGAAGTAAAATTTTCAGAATTAGCGTTTAAATTTCTTAAATTTTTTTCTTTTGACAAAATTTCTTCAGGTTCTTTATGATGAGTTATAGGAATCTTTTGACAGTTCTTATTGTACTTGCTTGAACCCTGTAATGGACTTTTGGTACTTGAATTTTTTAACTGTAGATTTAATTTTTTTTGCTTGAAAAACTTTTTTGTTGATTCAGGAGTAGAAGGTAAAAAGTTTAGATTTAAATTATTTTTGTTCAAATTTGAAATTATTTCTTTATCAGGAACCAAAGTTAAACAATTAAAGTTAAATTTTTCACATTCAAGTCTTTGTGGTGGACTACTGGATGGTAAAATAAATCTAGTAATTATTGTTTTTTTTTAGTATTTTTTTTTTTTTCTGTGTTCTTTTATAAAAAAAATAAAAAAAAAACCAAAGTTTACAATACCGATTATTGAAAAGTGTTTCATTACAAGAGCTACGAGGAGAGGTGGGAGAGGAAGGTCTACTTGAAACTTCTGAAAGAGACAAATTTTCAGTAGAGTTATCAACAATCAAAGAAGGACTGGAGTCTTCCTGTAAAAATTCGATGTCCTCATCAGTAGAATCGGAGCCCTTTACTTCATCAACTACAAATGTGAGCCAGGACTTATCATCAATATCTCTTTGTGGAGATTTTTTCTTGCACAATTTTAAACGGTTTTCCCCGACTTCACTTTGGATACAGCGTGGGGGTGTACTATCATTATTTACAAAAGATATATATCCTGGCCATTCTTCTAAGAATTCGTACTGTTTACCTGATGGTTGAGACAATGTAGTTTTTATTGGTGAACTCATATATTTTGAAAAATTTCTATTTTTGATCGGGTACACAATAATAATTTTGAACTCAGACTCAGTGGAAGAAAATTTTTGAATCGACACTTAGTTTTCAGGCAATTTTACCACCAGTTTAAAATCAATAAGATTCAACTTAAAAAATGCTCTCTTTTAAAAGTTTACATGATTTTATTTATGACTAGTTTCGTAATGGATCGAAAAATCAATTTGTGTATTGCAAGAGCAAAATTTAGCAGTGTTATTGCTTCATTAACCGCAATCTTCAAAGATGGGATCAGAGATATGGAACTTGGTGATTCTAGATACATTTCACCTCATGCACATAGAAATGTGAGAACTTAAATAGATTATAGGGATTCATCAAGAATTTATAGAGTGTAAAGCAACAGTAAGTTTATACAACAAATTTTTTCAAAAGTGTGAATAGTATCCAACACACAAGTTAAGTGAAAATCCTAGACATGCAATAAATTTCCACCTCCACATTGCACTAGCAGTGGTTCTGCAAATGTACTTATTAAATCCCCAGCAATTACCACTTTAATCTCGTTAAAAAAATTTTTCATTCAAAAATATTTTCAAAATTCTTTTTTAAAAAAAAAAGGAAAGTAATTCTTAACTTTTTTGAAAAAATTCTTTAGATAATTAATAGTTAACTCGGTTTTCTTTTCACTAACTGCATCCTTCCAAATACCAATTTTTTTTTTTTTGGCATATTCTTGAAACTTCAAATTTGATGCTATAAATTTTTTATTAAGTAAATTTAATTCTGACATAGTAGATTGGCTAACATCAAAGCTTATTAACCCTTTTTTCAATAATTCCAAGGTTGGAATTGAGTAAAATGGAGAATACGAATTCTAAAAAAATTTTTATCATTAAATTAGTATTTAAGGAAATAAAAAAATACCTTTTTTGTTTTTATTATCCCGTATAAAAAACTATTCGTACAGTCAAATTTCAAGGGTATGATTTTCCCACATTTGTTATCGATGGAGTTAATAAGAGGGTCATTTGAAGTTTCAGGAATTTCATATCCAACCAACTTAATGCGAAATGCTTTTTCTTTATCGACTTCTAAAGAAAATGGGTTATTTTTTTTGGTAATTCAAAATTTTACTTCTTGGTAAGCCAAAAACAACCCTTTGAAAAACTGGAATGTGTTGAAACATAATTTCAATTGTCTCTGCTTTCCTTTTTTCACTACTCAAAATTACATTTGATTGAAAACACTGAAAAATTCCTGAAAGTGATCTTTTACCTGTAAAAATTTATATATAGTTCAGCAAAAAAAAAAATTCGGTTTAAGATGGACTTACCTGAAAGAAGATAGTCAGGAAATGGTTTCTTTGGAGTTAAAGTTCTTCCAAATTTAGTAGAGGTTTTTAATAACAAAAAGGCTGATGTAGCAGTGGTCAAAAATAAACTGGTTCTAATTACTGATAAGTGATTCTCAATAAAAGTTGATAATTCATCAGCAAATGACATATCTGAAAGTAAAACCCCATAATAGGCTTTCAAGTATTGACAAAAAAAAATTTTTTTCCTTTTCAGTAGTATCCATATATGATTTGACCTCTCAATTTACCAGAAGACATCTGGGTTAGGTCATATGAGCTCTTCAGCAGTTTTTCCTAAGGACATTTGTGCAGTAGTTAATCACCAATACCTCTAATTTTACTTAAACAACTTTAAGTTTTAATTTACTTTTTTTCTGTAATGGAGAGTATTGTAATTACCTTGATTTATTGTACATCAAATCATTTAGTTTTTTTTATTCTAATTTTAATTAATCTAAAAATATGCATCAAATCTTGGGATTTTATTGACCTTAATCGTAATTTTTTCATATTGTGATCAGAAATTGCTATTTTATTCAATGTGAACAAAAAAAAATCTTCTAGTGACTTTTTTTAAAATCTATAATTTTTTCTACGATAAAAATGAAGATTGTCTCAATGTTAACTCGAAATTACTTTAAGTGTAGTTATTAAAAGTATCACTCGCACTGCTTTCCAATATAGTTCCATAAATCAAGTAATCAATGTCACTAATTTTCCAATCAAACTTTAAGTGCTTTTTTTTTGGCGAAGTCATCTCATAAATATTATCGGTTGGTTTAAAATTTGGTGTGCAAAATTGAATGTCAAAATTATTCCTATAATCTCTAATATCATAATTAAAATTAAAATAAAAAATAATTTCATACTCTATTAAAATTTTTCCTGCACCGTCTTTCACAATAAACTGTAAATTCTGTTTAAAAGTTACTCTAGTATAAATTTTGATACAGCATCCCTCATTCATTGCATTTCTAAATATCTGTTCTTGATGTTGATGATTCTTACCAACTTTATCGGACTGATAGACAAAGAATTTTAAAAAATGACATCAAATGTACTTACCTGGGGAATGATCAACTTATGAATTGGCCAGTTCTGCACAACATAATTGGGTGGTATAGGATGTGGTCCATAAATAAAAGAAATTTCAGTTATCCTATAAAAATAATAAAATTTTATAATAAAAATAACGTTTAACAAACTGGATATCAAATTCTGGTTTCTTTTGTAAATTTTCAAATTTAAAATCAACTGTCAACTCTCTTTTCCTAAGGTCGATATATTCCTTATTAAATATGTTTTGCAAGCTCTTCACCATACTAGTGCAGTTACTGATATTTGATAAGTCATGCTGAAACAGCTTTTCAATTATTTCTTCCACATCATCATAAAAGTGGGTAGGAAAGTCAAAGTGAGGTTTTTTTAGGTGCTTTTTTTGAATTCTATTCATTGTAAATGCAAACACTAATTTCTGCTTGAAAGTGTTCCAGAAAGTAGGTTTGAACCTCTTTTTAGAAGTTGAAAGCAGCCTTTAGAGAAACAATAAAAAATTAATTTCAAATTTATCATGCGAAATAGTAAACAGTATCATACCATGGAAAAGTAAGGAAAGTTGATTTCCCATCAAAAAGTATTTTAGGAATTGGTGAGGTGAGTTCACTTTCTTTTAAAAAATTGAACCTTGAAGATTTTAGAAATTTTTTTACCATATTAGCATTTGATTGAGGTATAGATATTTTTTTCATAGTTAAGAATAATCCAGCCAAATTTTGAATTTTTTTTTTTTTTTTCCTGAGAATAAAAATATAATTTTTTTTAAATTTATAGAAATTTATATTTTTTTATCAAAAATTTTACTATATTCTAAAAATATTTTATAACGAAGACAAAAAATAAAAAATCTCATTTCTTAAGAGAAAGCTTTCATTAAGCCCCAACATAAAGTAATTTGTTAACAGTGTTTGCTGGTAATCCAGTAATTTTTCCAGGGGTAGATTTGGCAGTTAAAGCATTATAAGCATCTTGAGCAGAGGAAAAGGATTGTTGACTTAAAAGTGCAGCAAAGCCACCAGCAACA